CAGTGATAAACTACTTTTGCGAGGGAACGCAAAAGTTATTGTGAGGTAACGCAAAAGTATTGCGAGGTAACACAATATTATTGCGTGGGAAAACAAAAGAAAAAAAAATCTCCCATGCCCCCTCGCGGGCTCCGTAGTTTCTATACATCAACATAACTGCAGTTTTTCTTGAACTTTATTTCTTTGTAGCATATGTTCAAGAGATTTTCCATTTGTTAAATGATTAGACTTTATCGAAACAAAGGCGTGATAAACTGATTGCTTCTAGTTTTGCAAACTCTTCACTAACTCTGTGTTAAGTCCTGATTTCTTGTAAAWCTAAATCCAAAATGTATTCCTTCATAATAAAAAAGATAAAAGGGAAATGTCATTACATTTCTACATACCTGTGAACTGATTGTAGGCATTCCCAACATTCGTWATGACTGTTCTGTAGATCATTGTTGTGTGTGTGCTGTGGGGTCCAATCGCTCCACTCCCACCTGTTGCTGCACTGAACACTACTTTGTTTTTTTCTACACGGGAGAAATAATACATTATTGTGCATCATATTTAATTTGTTACATGTAAAAAAAAAACATCTTAACTAAAGATTTGAAAGCAGTTCTTACCATTCTTCTTCAGTTCAGTGATTTRGTTTTCAGTCTCCTTCAGCCTTGTTTCCATGCTGCTCTGCTTCTCAGTCATGGCACCAAACTGTTTTAGAAACTTACACATGTCAGGAAAGCAGGACTCTGTTTCAGTTGTTTCTTGTGTTTCAGTCCCATCGCCCTGGGCCACAGCTGAGCCACAGAATATGACCAACATCAAAACTTTGAAACTCATCGTGATTCTTTGTCTCTGCGTCTCCAACCCCTGGCTGATGATATGCTCTGCACTGCTTTTATACTGTTTCATGGTTGTTAATGTTTAATGTGGGCAGCATGTTGTGAATGACCTGGTTTGCTTTTTTGAGTCCTCATGCAGTGATGAAACAGAATCTGGTGCTGTGTGATTTCTGGCTCTTTGTCTCGACTTCACAAGTTTTTACTTATATCTGCTGAAACCACGAGCTTTAATGTCATTTAGGAACTAAAGTGGGAGAAAAAAGCTTTAATTTCCTCAAAATGAACTGAGAAGTGAAGTTGGACAGACCACAGAGAGCTCAAAACTTTGTGTTTATTTTAGTCTGAACTTTAAACGGAGAAAAGTTCAAAGTTGCATCTTTGTAGAAGTTTTACCTTGGACTGCTCTGTGTGAGTTTCTTGTAAACCTCGATGTTGAGGCTTCCATCTCTTTCCCGGAACACCAAACAATAAAAAACASCTTGTTGTAGTTGTTGACATCTTGGACTAAAATCAGAACCACCTTTATAGTACCTGTTATCTCTTAGAGAATAAGGCCCAGCTTTATTGAGCTCACTGTAGTATAGCCTATATGTCACTGAAACTGTTTAATTTGACACCACTGAAGATCAAAACACCCTGGCATTCAATAAAATAGCTTTTAAGAATATTCAGCAGACTAAACAGCAGTGGTTGGCTGTAGAAAACTGAGCAAAGTGTTATAAAGTGAACAACACTGCTGTTGCACTGCAGGTCATTAACCTGAATCACTGCTGTGCTCCTCTCAGTTCGTGGGGTCTCTTTCTTTTCATTTTTTTATTTATCTTATTTTCCTTTGGAGTTTCCCTGATTTGTAAGGTTGGAGTTTCCAGGGCACTTTGGACATGTAAACACCACTAGTAAATTATTCTCTGTGTGTATATATGCATAGRTGGCATGGTGTGGTAGAGCTGATGCCTCTCAGCAAGAAGGTCACCGGATCAAATCCCGGCCCTCTRCTCTGCAGAGGTTTTTTTCAATGAACAAGTGTGTCACATTTCGTTGATATAATATGATGTTTAGTTTTTTTCCTCATCTATCCTTGTGTTGTATTTCCTTCTTCTTTTTAAAGGTAGCACGACCCCTGCTGGTTGCCACATGACCTGATCACCTGTTCCCCCATGTCAGCATGAACAGCTGATCAACCATGTGAGGTACCCCATAGTAAACATAATAAAAATAGTAAATGTTTAAGCTGAGAAGTTAAACTTTTTTGAACATAAAACAAAATAAAAAAGTTATTTTTTATTTGATGTCATCTCCTCAACTCACAATAACATTCATGCTAACAATAATAAATCACCATTATTATTATTATTATTATTATTATTATTATTATTATTAACAAGTAAAATTGAACATTTGAAATCTGACATTCTGTTTGAGTAGGTAAAACAAACAAAAAACATGTTTAACATATTGAAACCTTTAAAATATTGCAGTGATGGATTTAATGTTCAGCATAAAGACTGGATATTTGTTGAAGATACTTTTCTTAACAATAATAACAACAATACTACTACTACTACTACTACTACTACTACTACTACTACTACTACT